AGACACATAAAAGTATTTGAAATCTCGAAATTTAATAATAATAGATACATTTTTAGAATCTCTTTCAGGTCTTTTTCACATTTGATTTTCTTTTTGCTGCCATCTTTCACTATTTCTGACAACATCATGTTGGATGAAAGGCAGTGAGTCAGTAAGAAAGAATGTGTTGCATACTTCTGTTTATAACCTAACATCTGACTGATTCATATTAGAACATCTTGTCAGCCACACAACAGAGTACAATGTGTTTGTTAGCTGGATTCTTCATTTAGGATGTTTCTGGGTTTGTTGATACTATTTCTCCAAATTCTGTATCATCAGGCAAAGAGGAATGTTTCCTCTTCCTATTATAATTAAAGGATGCCTTCTGCTGACAACAAATGCACTTGTATTGGCTTCTAAAGACACAGTCCTTATGAAAGAATTGCAATAAATACATTTTGGTTGGGTTAAACAACAGATGGCTGACATCTTCTACAGTTTCATTTCTCTGGTGATATTTTGCCACCCTCTAAAAAGCTTGAATTGTAGCACTTCTTGTGTTATTGTTGATTTTGCAATAGGAACCAATCTGGAAAGCAGTAATGACATCTCTGAGAAGGGTAAATGTTTTTCAGCAGTTTTCTGCTCATAAAGTCTGAGATGGTGAAAAAGAATAGGTAATCTGAAGGGTTTACCTTTTGTTATGTAGCTTATCTGGTGAGCAAACAAAAAATATTCTGGCAATAAATTTCTATAAACAGCAGTATGCCTCATTCCTCCTAATTGAAAAATGTGAGAAACTGTTGCAAACTTCTTACTTTTCTGCCAAGACCTTTGACTTAGGAAATAATTGACATTATAAAAACTTCTTTTTTTCTTCCCTAAGCAATTTGGGAATTGGAAGATGTAATGGAAAGTTAAATATGAATGGAAACACTGGAAGGTTTCTAGATGAAACAGAAACATTTGGTCTGAACTCAGAAACACCTTAGGCACGGATTCCCTGGTGAAAACATTCGGAGCAGCCAGTAGAAGTAAAAATCAAAAACTTTCTCTTTGCAAGCAAATGTTACCATGACCAACCTTCCTGTGAAAGGAAGAGGCTTGTTCTGCACACAGCTCCTTTCATCTCCTGCTTGGGGTCAAGCAGTGCTGTCCTCAGCAAGCAAAGCTCACCTGTCACCCTCACACATGAGCAGCAGAGACACGCCAGGACAGCCACTGCCTTCATGTCCTCACACCCCTTACCTTCCCTGAGCTCTGCACCACATCCAAAATACCTTCTACAATTCTATAAGATTTAATTTGTCATGGGTTATTCAAATGGATCCTTGGGAGCCTTGTACAGACCAGATCATTTGCAAGAGGACAAGAAGTTGCTTTAAAGCAGAGTTAGGTAAATATCAAAATGGTTTTTGCAAAGATGAAAAACAGCCCAGAGATATGTCAGTTTAGACAAAGATGAACTTTTTAAAATAAGAAGTGTGTGAAGAGAGAGAGAGAGAGAGAAAGAATTTAGGGTATAGGCATAAAGATACCCACATTCTAATCCAAAATGCTCAGTGAGCATAATACTGATATTCAAAAACGTTTCAGGGTTTTGTTTGCCTTCCAAAATCAAATTTCAAATGAAAAAACCCAAAAAACTAAAAGACCCAACACCTTCATATTAGCCTTTTCCCTTCCCTTCCCTTCCCTTCCCTTCCCTTCCCTTCCCTTCCCTTCCCTTCCCTTCCCTTCCCTTCCCTTCCCTTCCCTTCC